CCCCCTCAATTCCACCCGTCGGTTGAAGCCCCAAGAAAACGAAAAGTAAAAGGCGGACAGATGGAATCAAATCCTCGTCGTGCATGATGGGATTATTTGATCACAATAAAACTAGAAACGGGGGGAAAATGCAAAAGCTGCACGCACAACAAATAAACAATTCGGATTAAAATACGTTTCCCACGTTCCCTCTATTTTATTTGATTATTTTGTTCGTGCTCAACTGAGCGTGTTTTTTAAAAGGCGATTCTCCTCCTCCCTTCCCTTGGTCCTTCTCCCAAGATGCCTCGATCGTCAATAGGACAACACAAATCCCCTAAATGTCATCATCATCACCATTGCCTTTCTCACCCTGGATCAGGATATAGGCCACGAACAAACGCTTTCCACCTTTCCCTATCCTGGGCAAGTCGCCTGATGTCACTCCATGGCTTCCCACTTTTCTGTACATCCATTTCCGTGACTCTTCTCTGGGTTCCGCTTGGTCTTCCCCTTGATCTTTTACCCTGTGGGTTCCAATCTAACACTTTCCTTGTCATACAGCTGCTTGATTTCCTGAGAGTGTGTCCAATCCATCGCCAACGACTTCTTCCTACCTCATCTCTGACTGGGCTCTGTCTCGTTCTTCTTAATATTTCCTCTTTGGTTACCCTGTCTGTCCATTTGATCTTCAGTAACTTCTTTAGACACTTATTCAAGAAAACCTGGATCCTCTTTATGCAAGCCTAAGAAGCGCCCCATGTCTCACATCCATACAACAAGACCGACGTTTCATCTACGTTGAAAATCCTCAGCTTTGTTCGTTGTGAGATATCCCCGGTCCTCCGAATACTATTCAAAGATAAAAATGCAGTCTCTGCACTCCCAAAGCGGGACTTTATTTCAGCGCCTGTTCCTTCCTCTCTGTCAATTATCATCACAAGACAGCAGAAGGATTCTGTAAAGACCTGCTCCTTTCGTAGCATCTGTCCTTAAAACTTTTTACTTTCCGGGGTGGATCCTCAATCCAACAGACTCTGATAGGCTGTTGAAAATTGTGGCCTTTGCTTGCCCCTTAATGTGCAGCCAGCTTTACTGTTGGGGATATGCAACATTGATCAGCTGCTAATATCGCGAGATTCCACCCTCTGTGTGATCTGTTCGGCGACTTGTTTGTGATGTGTGTTTTATTTAGACGTGTGGTTTATTTGCTCTATGCGTGCGTGAGTGCACGTGCTTCTCTCTCTCCCTCTC